CTGAAACATGGTGGGATGAGACACATGACTGGGCAGCTAACTTAAATGGGTACATGTTATTTAGGGAGGATAGGAAAAACAAGAAGGGTGGTGGGGTATGTTTGTATGTCAAACATGATTTAAAGCCAAATGTTAAGCAAATGGAATGCGAGGAGAATAATGTGGAAGCTTTATGGGTAAATATCTGCTTGGGGGAAAAGAAGGGAAACCAACTATTGGTTGGGATATGTTATAAACCACCTAATGTTAATATTGACGAGGAACAACAGCTGTTTGAGCAAATTGAGAAAGCTGCAAATCTGGGTAACACTTTAATTATTGGAGATTTTAATTACCCGGATATAAATTGGCACAGAGGGACTAGTGCCTCAGCAAAGGGAATTAGGTTTTTAAACTTGTTAAATGACACCTTCATGTCACAACTTGTGCAAGCACCAACTAGAATGGATGCTTGTCTGGACCTGGTTTTAACAAACAACGTTGATCTTTTGACCAACATTCAAGTAGGTGAGCACTTGGGAAATAGTGATCACAATATAGTGTCCTTTGAAATAAACTCAAAAAAACAAAAGCACATGGGGAATACTAAAACATATAATTTTAAAAAGGCCAATTTCAATAAGTTAAGGGAAGCTTTACAATATATTGACTGGCATAAACTCTTTAGTGAAAAGAACACTGAGGATAAATGGATCATCTTCCAACAAATATTACAAAGGTACATTTCTCAGTATGTACCGTTGGGAAATAAATATAAAAGAAACAAATTAAAACCAATGTGGCTTAGTAGAGAAGTAAAACAAGAGATTACAACTAAGATAAGGGCATTTAAAGCATTTAAATCGGACAAATCAGATGCATCTTATAAAAGATATAAGGATGCAAATAATGCGTGCAAAAAGGCAATTAGACTTGCTAAATTTCAAAATGAAATAATGATAGCTGAAGGGAGCAAAACCAACCCCAAAGCATTTTTTAAGTACATAAATTCTAAAGAAAAAACAAAATGAAAGTGTAGGTACACTAAAAACTGAAACGGGGGTGTTAGTTAATGAAGGAATTTTAAATAACTATTTCTCCTCCGTATATATTAAGGAAGAACCCATGGCAAAAGATGTGCAAATGATTGCTACTAAAAACTTGCAGAATAATTGTAATTGGTTAACTCAAGACAAGGTGCTGCAGCAACTAAAGAAAGTTAATATAAACAAAGCTCCAGGGCCTGATGGTATACATCCACATGTACTTAAGGAACTAAGTGCAGAAATAAGTGAACCTCTGTTTTTAATCTTTCAAGATTCTTTTCTTTCAGGAAGTGTTCCGGAGGATTGGAGGAAGGCAGATGTGATTCCTATATTCAAAAAGGGTTCAAAATCCTTGCCTGGAATTTATAGACCTGTGAGCTTAACTTCTGTGGCTGGTAAAATATTTGAAAGGTTATTAAGGGATAATATTCAAGAATTCCTTGAGAAGAACATGGTTATCAGCAAAAATCAGCATGGTTTTATGAAGCACAGGCCATGTCAAACTAACTTGATTGTGTTCTACGAAGAAGTAAGTAGAAGTATAGATCAGGGTGTTGGCGTGGATGTGATCTATTTGGATTTTGCCAAGGCATTTGATACAGTTCCACACAATAGATTAGTGTTCAAACTCAAGGAAATCGGTCTAGATGAAAATGCTTGTTCTTGGGTAGAACATTGGCTTAAAAACAGAGTACAAAGAGTTGTCATTAATGGTAAATTTCAAGCTGGACAGAGGTGGCAAGTGGTGTCCCTCAGGGGTCTGTTCTGGGACCCCTTCTATTTAACATGTTTATAAATGATCTTGAAGACCGCATTGAAAGTCATGTTTCAGTGTTTGCAGATGACACCAAACTTTGTAAAACAATACAGTGTGAGCAAGATATTACTTTGCTGCAGAGGGACTTAGATAGACTGGGGGTGTAACAGAACTATGCTGTATGCCTGGACCAGTGAACTAACCAAAATCAGCAGGAATTCGGCACATTTAGTGCATTTCAACCATTCGAATGGATTCGCATGAATTCCCTGTGTAAAGTATAGGTGGCCGCCATTTCGGGACTTTACACGTGGCCGCGGCCATCTTACGTGCGAACAGCGGTGTTTGCCTGTCGACGCGTGGAACTAAAATCGATACGCAAACAGGCGAACACCGCTGAGTCCTCCATACTTCCAGAAGTTCGCACGGAAACTACCGAATCACCGGACGTTCGGTAGTTATGTTCAATCATCTATGGGGATTGCGGCGAACCCTGAGATTCGAATGGATGGCAAGAATTTCATACCTTTCTACCAGGCGAACGGAGACCGACCGCAAGGCCAAAACTCATGGAACTATTTTCGGCTAGTTGGTCTGTGCGGTCGGTCAAAACTTTGGAACTCTGTATCTCCCGAACTATTCATCCGAATGGGCTGATTTTTGGACATGTTGGTCCCCTGAATGAGAGCTATCAAGCGACCCAGGATTTAAAGCTGTACCCCCTGTTTTTGGGGCACATCCAGAACTGGGGTAAAATGTTGTACGTTTTAATTATGTTATATGTTATCTGAGGGGAGGAGACGTGGGGGTGTTACCAGGTATATGATTGGGTGTTTTTATCCTCCCCCTGGGAGTATCCTGTGTGTACCTGATCCCAATAAAAAGCAGGCTGGGTGTTCCAGTCCTCAGATCTTCTTGACCCTTCAAAACGTAGCCTTGTCTCGTTCTTGGAAGGGGATTATTTGGGAATGTTATTCTGCTCCTGTTACAGCTGAACCTGACTCTTACTCTGGATATCGTGAATGGGATTATACCAGCGTACTCCTCCACAGCAGCTTACAGGGAAAAAGGACGTCTCCAACGGCAGATACCCTCACTCTACCCGGGTAGCCGTTACATTGGTTGGCAGCGGTGGGATGGTCCTTTTATCCAGAGAACAAGTGCTGAATGGAGGCTCAGTACGTCAAGCTGAAAAGACCCACATTAAAGGATTTATTGGAAAGTCGTGGTAGGAGTGCCAGCAACAGACCACGGAGGGAGCTGATAGCTGACCTACTAGAACTGGACGAAATGGATAGGTCCATGGAGGTAACAGAACCTCTTGCGCCTGTCAGCGAGGACGATGAAATTTCTGCCATTGTACAGCGGAGATTAGCTTGGTATCCAGAAAGATCCACGGAGCTAATAAACCAGCTGCTCCGGGAAACAAGGGAGGAGATACAAACTAAGAGGGGACAAGAAGCGGAACTGGTAAGAGCTAGACAGCCCATTACACAGGCAGTTCCTACACCCCCACCCGCTGCTACAGGGAGGAAAATACCGTTCACTGCATTTAAAGCGTTTGTAGAGAATGAAGAAGAAATTGATGGATATTTAGCGGACTTTGAGAGACAATGCTCGCTACACCAAGTACCACCAGACCAATGGGTTACTATTCTGGCTGGAAAGCTCTCAGGAAAAGCAAATGAGGCTTTTCGGGCACTTACTACGGAAGATATAACGCAGTATCAACGGGTGAAAGCTGCACTACTCACCCGATATGCGGTCACCCCAGAAGCATATCGCCGTCGCTTCCGGGAGTCCAAAAAGAAGGCAGCGGACTCCCACATGGAATGGGCAAACAAGATACAACGGGTGGCAACACACTGGGTGCGAGGGTGCAATGCTAACACCGGAGAAGAAATATTACAGTTGTTCTTGATGGAACATTTCTTTCAAGATCTGGCTGCAGATATACAGGACTGGGTAAGAGATCGGCGCCCTGCCAATTTAACTGAGGCAGCGCGACTAGCAGATGAGTATGCAGAGACAAGGAAGGTGAGCCAAAGTAACACACGACCAGCCCCTAGAGCAGAGGCCCGCACTACAACCTACCCTGCACGCACAGAATTCCGGGCCCCAGTACCCCCAGGGCCTCCACGTCCCCAGGGGCATAACAACCATCCCCGGGAATCTTACAAAGTAACGTGCCATCGCTGCGGCAACACAGGACATATTGCCCGGTATTGCCCGTTGGGATCAGCCAATAATAACTGGAGGCGCCCACCTAACACCGAGAGCACACCGCCACGTCCAGCGGCTGCTCACTGCCTAGAAATTGAAGGAAGCCCTGAAGAGTGCCTGGGAATATTATATGAGGCCAACCCCATACAAGCAGCTTCCCCAGATAATCGTCAGCATCACCGTCAGGAGGTGCGTGTGAACGGACAGATAGCACAAGGCCTAAGAGACACTGGCGCTACCATTACCCTAATACAGAAACACCTTGTAAAACCAGAACATGTGTCGAATCGTACCGTGGCTGTTCGTGTCGCAGGGGGAGCTGTTTTTCGCTTACCCACCGCCAGGATACACTTAGATTGGGGAGCCGGGTCAGGAAAGACCACAGTGGGCATCATGGACAATTTACCCGCCGAGGTCGTATTGGGCAACGATATTGGCCCTCTAGCTTCAGCATTTTTACCCACTACTGCTGGTGCTTGCCCCGTGACCACCCGCTCACAGACCCGTATCGAGGACGATCCTACAACAGGTCGGGAGACCCAGGTAAGCCACAAGCAGACACCCCACACTAACATTACAGAGAGACCCATAGCTTGGGACACCCCAGAAGAATTTGGGAGGGAAACTAGGCAGGACCCCACCCTCCAAAAGTACAGGGAACTAGCTGACAGTAGGGGGGACGAGCGAGAACGTTTTGTATGGGAGGGGGACAGGCTATACAGATTGACCGAAGGCAGGAAGAGAGGCTGTGCCCCCTCGCAGAAGCGCCAATTAGTGGTACCCAGAAAGTACCGGTGGGAGCTTCTCCGAATTGGCCACGACATTCCGTTGGCAGGGCATCTAGGGGGTAACCGCACAACCTTCCGGATCACCCAGACCTTCTTTTGGCCAGGGATCTCGAAAGATGTGCGCCGCTACTGCAGCACTTGTGATGTATGCCAGAGGGTGGGAAAGAGAGGGGATCACCCCAAAGCCCGACTGTTACCCATGCCAGTGATCGAGGAACCATTTAGCAGGGTGGCAGTCGACCTAGTGGGACCCCTACCTAACCCCAGTCCCTCTGGGAAGAAATATATTCTTACTGTAGTAGACTATGCTACCCGCTACCCAGAAGCCGTCGCTCTGACGAATATCCAGGCTGACACTGTCGCCAGTGCTCTCGTTGGGATCTTCACCAGAGTAGGATTTCCCCGGGAAATCCTGTCGGATCGAGGGACTCAGTTCACCGCAGACCTAACTCAGCAGTTATGGAAGGCCTGCGGTGTCCAATCCCTCCTTAGTTCCCCGTATCACCCTCAAACTAACGGTCTCTGTGAACGCTTTAATGGTACCCTAAAGCAACTACTGCGTACCTTTACAGCGGAATACAGGGACTGGGAGCGATTCTTGCCACACCTCTTGTTTGCATATCGAGAGGTGCCGCAAGAATCCACAGGGTTCTCCCCATTCGAATTGCTCTACGGACGGCGGGTACGAGGCCCCCTCGACCTGATCCGAGAGCACTGGGAGGGAGAGACAGAACATGAGGGGGTCCCCATCGTACCATATGTACTGGAGATGCGGGACCGCATGGGGCACCTAGCCAGGATGGCCCGAGAGCATCTCCAGGCGGCCCAAGGCCGACAGAAACATTGGTACGATCGGGGCGCGAGATTGAGAACCTTCCAGGTGGGACAGAAAGTCCTAGTACTTAGACCCGTTAAAGGGAACAAATTACAAACCTCCTGGCAAGGCCCTTACAAGGTGGTCGCACAGATCTGTGACACCACCTATGTAATTGCCAGTAGCAAGGACGAGAGGATACAGAAGTCCTTCCATATAAACTTACTGAAAGAGTACCAGGAAAGGCCCGAAGACATAGCAGCCATATGTATCCCAGCCACTGAGGACCCGGACAGTCTCCCCATCCCGGATCTACTAGCTAACCCCGAGTCTAAAACTTTACTGAACACTGTACAGCTAGGGGAGCGACTAACGCTCACCGAAAGAGAGCAACTCCAGCAGATGCTAGCTGCAAAAAGATTGACGTTTTCCCAGGAACCCGGTTACACACCCTTAGCGACACATTACGTAGAGACCCCAGGACAAAACCCTCTCCGACAGACTCCCTATAGAATTCCCGAAGCCGTGAAAGAGGAGATGAGAAAGGAGATCCAGGAAATGTTAAAGCTAGGAGTTATAGAACCCTCCGACAGCCCCTGGGCATCCCCAGTCGTCCTAGTCCCCAAAAAGGACGGAACGACCCGATTTTGTGTCGACTACCGACGCCTTAACGACAGAACTGTGACAGACGCATACCCCATGCCCCGAGTAGACGAACTATTAGATCGTATTGCTAGGGGACGCTATCTGACCACCATCGATTTGTGCAAAGGGTACTGGCAGATCCCCCTGGCCAAGGACGCTATCCCTAAGTCGGCGTTTGTCACCCCGTTTGGCTTGTACCAGTTCAAGGTCATGCCTTTCGGGATGAAAAATGCCCCAGCTACCTTTCAGCGCTTAGTGGACCGCCTCCTTGATGGCTTCCAGGAATTCGCTTGCGCGTACCTGGATGACATTGCGATCTATAGTGAGACGTGGGAAGAACACCTACGACACGTAGAGGCTGTGCTGGATCAGATTAGGGCCGCCGGCCTAACCCTGAAACCAGAGAAATGTAACTTTGGTATGGCGGAAGTTCAGTACTTGGGACACAGAGTGGGGTGTGGGAAACAACGACCAGAACCCGCCAAGGTAGAGGCCGTAGCGAATTGGCCCACCCCCCACACTAAGACCCAGGTATTAGCCTTCTTGGGAACGGCAGGGTACTACAGAAAATTTGTCCCTGACTACAGCGCCATCGCCAAACCTCTGACCGATTTAACGAAGAAAAATTTACCTAGGGTAGTCCTGTGGTCTCCCGCCTGTGAAACAGCATTCCAAACCCTGAAACAAGCTCTGATCAACGCACCGGTTTTGTCTGCCCCCGTCCCTAATAAAAGATTTGTCGTCCACACAGATGCGTCCATGTACGGACTGGGGGCAGTGCTAAGCCAGGTCGGAGAAGATGGGGGAGAACACCCTGTCGCATACCTGAGTAGAAAGCTATTGCCCAGGGAAGTGAGTTATGCGGCAGTGGAAAAAGAATGTCTAGCCCTGGTCTGGGCCCTAAAGAAGCTCACCCCCTACCTTTATGGTCAGGAGTTTACCCTGATCACAGACCATAACCCTCTAGTATGGCTGAACCGAGTGGCTGGGGACAATGGACGACTACTGAGGTGGAGCCTAGCCCTACAACCGTATAATTTCTCCATCCAGTATCGCCCAGGCCGGTTCAATGGGAATGCAGACGGACTGTCCAGGCAAACAGAACTTTTACCTTAGAGGCAGACCGGACAGCCCCAAGTTGACCCGAAAAAGGTCAATCCGGGTCTGCCGGAGTGTTCCACAAAAGGGGAGCAGTGTAACAGAACTATGCTGTATGCCTGGGCCAGTGAACTAACCAAAATCAGCAGGAATTCGGCACATTTAGTGCATTTCAACCATTCGAATGGATTCGCATGAATTCCCTGTGTAAAGTATAGGTGGCCGCCATTTCGGGACTTTACACGTGGCCGCGGCCATCTTACGTGCGAACAGCGGTGTTTGCCTGTCGACGCGTGGAACTAAAATCGGATACGCAAACAGGCGAACACCGCTGAGTCCTCCATACTTCCAGAAGTTCGCACGGAAACTACCGAATCACCGGACGTTCGGTAGTTATGTTCAATCATCTATGGGGATTGCGGCGAACCCTGAGATTCGAATGGATGGCAAGAATTTCATACCTTTCTACCAGGCGAACGGAGACCGACCGCAAGGCCAAAACTCATGGAACTATTTTCGGCTAGTTGGTCTGTGCGGTCGGTCAAAACTTTGGAACTCTGTATCTCCCGAACTATTCATCCGAATGGGCTGATTTTTGGACATGTTGGCCCCCTGAATGAGAGCTATCAAGCGACCCAGGATTTAAAGCTGTACCCCCTGTTTTTGGGGCACATCCAGAACTGGGGTAAAATGTTGTACGTTTTAATTATGTTATATGTTATCTGAGGGGAGGAGACGTGGGGGTGTTACCAGGTATATGATTGGGTGTTCTTATCCTCCCCCTGGGAGTATCCTGTGTGTACCTGATCCCAATAAAAAGCAGGCTGGGTGTTCCAGTCCTCAGATCTTGTTGACCCTTCAAAACGTAGCCTTGTCTCGTTCTTGGAAGGGGATTATTTGGGAATGTTATTCTGCTCCTGTTACAGCTGAACCTGACTCTTACTCTGGATATCGTGAATGGGATTATACCAGCGTACTCCTCCACAGCAGCTTACAGGGAAAAAGGACGTCTCCAACGGCAGATACCCTCACTCTACCCGGGTAGCCGTTACAGGGGGATTGGGCACTCAAATGGCAGATGAAATTTAATGTTGAAAAATGCAAAGTTATAGACAACAAACTATGCAATAATGTGCAATGTCAATCAGCAGTGGCCAAGGCCAGTAAGGTATTGTCATGCATGAAAAAGGGCATTCATTCTCGGGACAAGAATATAATTTTTCCTCTTTATAAATCACTGGTAAGACCCCATATTGAATATGCTGTGCAATTTTGGGCACCTGTTCTAAAGAAGGATATTATGGCACTAGAAAAAGTGCAGAGGCGGGCTACAAAATTAATAAAAGGAATGGAACATATCGGCTATGAAGAAAGGTTAACAAATTTAAACCTATTTAGTTTAGAAAAACGTCGCCTGAGAGGGGATATGATAACATTATACAAATATATTCGGGGCCAATACAAACCATTGTGTGGAAATCTATTCACAAACCGGACTTTACATAGGACACGAGGCCATGAGTTTAGACTGGAAGAAAGAAGATTTCGTCTAAGGCAAAGGAAAGGTTTTTTTACTGTAAGAACAATCAGGATGTGGAATTCTCTGCCTGAGGAAGTGGTTTTATCAGAGTCCATACAGATGTTCAAACGGCTACTAGATGCATACTTGCAAGAACAGAATATTCAAGGATATAATCTTTCAATGTAGGGTAATAACTGCTTGATCCAAGGATAAATCTGACTGCCATTCTGGGGTCAAGAAGGAATTTTTTTCCTAGCTGGTTGCAAAATTGTGCTTCAAACTGGGTTTTTTTTGCCTTCTTTTGGATCAACAGCAAAAAACAAATGTGAGGTAGGCTGAACTTGATGGACGCAAGTCTCTTTTCAGCTATGTAACTATGTAACTACCTCCAGGACCTCTGTCCGAATTAATCCCTGCCATACCCACAGCAAAAGCAGCCGCCCACGTTATTAACCCCGCACACATGGTGCCGGCAAATCTTAAAAAGGACATCCTGGAAGGCAAGGACGTTAACTTAGTCTCACTGCTCATTGCCTCCCAGGATATCGTGGAAAACCGGTCTTATGACTATGGGGACATCTCAGTGGTTTTAAAAGCCAGAGACCCCAGACTCAGTAAGAAACTTTCCATTCCTGATTTTGTGCTGGCTTTCGGTATTTTTAGAGATATTCTATGCACGGCTCATCCCAATAGAAGGGAGGAACTCGATCTATATATGCACAAGCTGGTGGACCTCGGTAATAAGTATGGTGGCTATACTTTTTACAATTACCACAAGTCCATTTCATCAAAAGTGTCTGCCACATTGTCTCAGTACGGCATCCAGATGGATTGGAGCCCCAGCTTGTGCCATATGTACATCTCCCGCTCATGCAGCTAATTTCTGTCCGCTCTGTCCAGACAGTGCTCCCTGCCCATCCCTGCATCATCCCGCTAAGTCTGAGAAACAGACCAGAGACAAACTGAGTCGTCCAGTGGTGTTTCTAGGCAAATCTCAGATTTGCAATAATTTCAACGAAGGCTCCTGCGGCTACAGCGCCTGCCGCTTATTACACGTGTGCTCAAATTGTTTCAGGGCACATGCGAAATCCATGTGCCCTAATAAAATGTACCAGAAACCTTATTTGTCGACGGTAAATGTTCCTTTACTTGTATGTATGCTATCCACTCACCCCTCTAAACACCTTGTTGATTTTTTATGTACGGGTCTCACCCAGAGTTTTCACACAGGGATCATTTACATGCCAACTGGGGTGATAATGTCACAATTTACAGTCTGCCACTAACCACCCTACGACTGTCACCACACTGTTACAACTGGAAGTGGATCAAGGATTTGTCATTGGGCCTTTTGTTAACCCCCCCTTTTCCAGCTGGAGAACTGACCCTATTGGGCTGGTTTCCAGCAAAAATTCTGAGAAATTAAGACTTATCATTGACTTATCCGCACCCCACTCCTCTGCCATCCCCA